TGTCAAGACTGACAAGACTATCATCAACTATCAAGTAAAACTCCGGCGTGGTCGCTCTCAGGTTTCGCTCTAATCATGTTGTTGCGGCGTTAACGGTTGTAACGGCTGCAACCTGTATGCTGTAACTTCACCGAGAAATCTCAGCGTGATCGTTAGCCAACTGGACCGTCGCTCCAAGACAAACGTAAATAACCGACTCGAGTCTTCGCCAAGTTGAATTCGCAAATTCCCCCATCAGTTATTGCATGTTTCTATTTCGTTGAGTATGAAAAGTACACCGCGCAAAACCTTCCGCAGATCTAGAATGCCGGATAAGAAATGAAGCTTTTCAAGCTGATAATGCATCAGAAGAACTTCAGCGAGGAAGACCTGATCGTCAACCCGAAGGATTACCCCGGTATAACAACCGGCGACGTCGTCGAGATTTACCATCCCGAGGATGAGTTCAGCCGCCTGTTGCTGCAAGTCACGTCTTTGAAGGAGGACCTCCAGAGCCGCGAGACTATCAGTGTCGAGAGTAACATAGCGTCAATGTTCCAGCTGCGTACATTCGCCGATGTATACATGAACAAAGTAAATCCGGACGACTTGGCTCTAGATTCCATAGAGTTGACGTTCAAGGAGCAGTACCTGGGCCGCAGCGAGATGTGGCGTCTGAAAAACAGCTTGGTACTATGTCTCTTTATTTCAGGGTTGTAAACCGGAGCAAAAATACGTTCTTTGGAGCGTTTTTGAACCGGTTCGAATTTAAAAACCGCTCCGAAAACCGGATGAATTTACGGAGTAAATTATTTGGGACTTGGGATGTAAACCGAATCGGAGCGAATAAGATTGTAAACCGGAGCATAAATACGTTCTTTGGAGCGGTTTTGAACCGGTTCGAGTTTAAAAACCGCCCCGAAAACCGAATGAATGAAGTAAATTATTTAGAACTTGGAATGCAAATCGAACCGAACTGGTGAAATTTGCACATTTACCACCTCTTCAGCTATGTAGCGAAGACTCAAACGTGGTAAATCTTTTTAAATAAATTAAATCCTTTTTAGATAAAGAAACCGCTCCAAAACCGGTTTTTCATGCTCCGGTTCGAAACCGGAGCGTTTGAAATCATAATCAAAAATGGTTCGCTCCGGATCGGAACGATTTTATAATTGAAATTTTGATCCGTTCTCTCGGAGCGGATACACTTCAATGGTTCGGTTCGGTTTACAACTCTGCTTTATTTCACACTAGCTTGAACCAATGTTGCCCAACGGGTAATTTCTGTTATTTTATATCGCAAAGCGTCAAAGAGATTGAACATTCAGGTTTCATGGCAACCTATGTTTTCCTTGGTGGAAATATTTTATCGAAAACACGATGAAATTTTGTTGTGGTGGTGAAATGTATTTAAAAATCTTCCCGAGAGGAGATCGACCCTCGTTTCATTATCGTTTCGTCAATATTTTAGTACAAATTCTGTAAAAAAATTATTTCAAAAGTGACACAGTTTTTAGTTACATTCAGCCAATTTGATGTCTGGTATTACGTAATTTTTTTTATTACTTTTCAATGGTATACTTTGTTTCCTTGTGTCTCCCAAGAATTTTCTAAGGAAAATTATGATTCGCTTTGAAACACATTCAGTAATTTTTCAGCAATTTTAGTTTCACTTTTCATCGATTTTATAGTATTTTCAGCAAAATGTTTCCACGCGGGATCCTAGAGAGTAACTTAGATTGCAAAATTTGGTTTAGATCGGTCAAAGAATCTAGGAGTTAATTGGAAACATTCTATTATAATATATATTTTTTTTTACTCCTGAATTGTGATCGTTTCTCTTCTTTCTAAGCGGTACACATAAGGATGCTCTTTTTAGGTAAACACTTGCGTGCACATGAATAAGAAGATAGAGTTTTGCAGCGGTAGTATACGTTGTCAAGTGTACGAGATGTGGTCACAGGGCGATCGTGTTGCCTGCGGCGTTATAACCGACGACACCAAAGTTCGTGCAAAGTTATGGCACTTAATTAAAATATCGCGCCTTTACCTTCGTTATAAAAGATCCCTATTTTTAGGTGGTGTTCCGCTCGTGTACAAGCATGGTATACTTGTTCATTCAAATGAGCTCTGAAATGTGGGACTTTGACATACACGGAGATCTCTACTTTGAGAAAGCGGTCAACGGATTCCTGGCGGATTTATTTCAAAAGTGGAAAAAGAACAGCATCAATCACGAGGTTACCATTGTACTGTTCTCAAGGACCTTCTACAATGCGACCTGTTTGGAGGAATGTCCGAATCACATGAGGGAGTGTCTCCAGCAAGATCACAGAGGGAGATTTTACGAAGATTTTTACAGAGTTGCGGTGCAAAACGAAAGATTTGAGGATTGGAGTAATATCTTGGTGCAACTGCGTAAACTGTTTACCGATTATCAAAAAATTGTTCTGGAATATCACCAGAGGCCAGGTATTAGCATACCTAAGGCAGTAAATTCCACTGCAGCGCAAGGCAATTTTCTGGAGATGTTAAATATGTCTCTGAACGGCAAGTAAAGAATGGCCAAAACGTTAACGTGATTTATTTGTCCATTTTTCATTTTTCTTCCCATGACATTATACATCTGTTTCTATTCTATTTCTATATCTGTGATATAATTTTACAGTTTTTGAAAAACACTATTTAGACCGCAGTTTTGACAGAACCGGTCAGTTATCTGTAGTTATTACACCTGGAGTTGGAGTCTTTGAGGTTGACAGGGAGCTGACAAATGTGACAAAGCAGAGAATCATTGATAACGGTGTAGGAAGTGATTTGGTATGCGTTGGAGAGCAACCGCTTCACGCGGTTCCGTTATTGAAGGTACTACACGTACATATGCGTGCATAATTTATTTATATAAAAGTAATATGTGCGACATTTGGTTCTAGTTTCATAACAAAGATTCCTCTATAAACGCGCCTGATGACTACAGCATGCCTCACTGGATAAATCTCAGTTTCTATTCCACGAACAAAAAGATTCCCTATTCCACATTTATCCCGCGAATAAAGCTGCCGCAGAAGATGTCGAAACATCTGACGGATAACGAAAAATTACATTGCAAAACTAGACTCTTGCAAGAAGATCCAAGAGAGTGTCTACACAATACGTTATTCGATTATGATGCCTATGACGCACAAGTGTTCCAACTACCAACAGCTCATACTTCAAGGTAAGTCAGCTAAATGCGTTATCCTTTAGCATCATATATTCATAACTAGTAATATAAAACGGAAATCTTTTCAATGTGACAAAACAATATTCTCTCTGTCTCTCTCTCTTCCCTTTTAAAGGTATTTGTGACACAAAAATATTTATTATACTAAAATTCTGCGTATGTACGTCTAAGGAAAAATAGATAAATCCAATCATCTTTTATTGTTACTTTATTAAATTAACACATACATTTTATTGTTGTTTCAGTGTACAAAGGATAAATACGAGGAGGAAAAAGACAAGCGTGGTGTGCCTTGAAACTCATAATAATGGCCATCTGTTAAAGCTCTTGAAGCGCAAAATGTCAGATCCCGATATACATCACCCACCACCTGAAACACATTCACCGCCGATTCTCGCATTACGGAGTGCCGCGATAACGATACCGCACAAAACAGATGACGATAACGCTAAATCTAACGAGGATAGAACTGGTAAGCACACGCGTGTTTGATAATAATTTCTAGTTTATACCATTGAGATATTTATTAAATAGCTGCGATCATTGCATTAGGTGTATCCAGAACACCGGTCAAGAGCGATTTAACCGACTCTGAGATATCCCCGCCCTTTAGACCTGTCGTTGGTAGCGCTGGTAGCCCGACGAACTCAATTTCTCAGCCGACAAATATACTTCGGCCTGGTAGAGCATTAATCAACCCTTTTGATCCATCACATGTTACCATCAAACTTACCAGCAACAGACGACGGTGGACTCACATATTTCCGAAAGGTAATAATCATACGCGTTTCATGTCGATATAATAATTTATATCGATAAATATAATTGATTCTTATTATGTTGTTTTATATGTAATTATGAATGTGCTGAATGTCGTAGAGTAACAAACATTGCCGAAAATAGCTATTTAGTTTCAACAACTGCCCAATTGCCATCTTGCACATATTCCACAGATACGACATAAAAATTTATATCTATTAAAGTTATTAAAGTACATTAATACAATTCTACAGGGCCTACGGGAGTTCTAATACAGCAACATCACTATCAAGCTGTTCCAATACAAACGTTGGAGTCACAAAGTGAGGCTACTCTATCGACCATAAGTGGATCCTCGATGGAAGCTGGGACGGCGAACAATTCAAATCAGATTTCAAGATCAGTATCTCAAACGGGATTTCAAGATCGTTAGTATTTAGTATTATTAAATTTGGCTATCTTTAAGATATAAAATATAAGAGAGCGCATACACACAGTAGACAATAAAATTCATGTTCTTATAGACACAAAAGGGAAACCGCGATCTAATCCTATAACTAATGGAGATAAAGCTGCGAATCCTTTAGCTATGGCGAATAAAAGTCTTACTCTTTTGTGGGGCGCTACTGGTGAGCAGGAATGGACACCTGCTCTAACAACAGGTTTGCTTTCTAATAATTCTAATAATTTTAGCATTTCTAATAATTCTCTGAACTTATGGTATCTATACATTTTGCAAGAAATAATAGAAATATTATAGATGTTGTTACTCCAAACATTTGTTTGGTATTGTTATTTCTGTAATTACTACATTACTAGTTAGGAAGCAGGTTAATATAATACAAAGCAGTTTAATGAGTGATTTAAACGTACATCTATACAATATTATGAAGTTTAATGTTATTCTGTAATACATTATGGGCCGTAAAAGAATGCAACAAAGTTATCGACTTGGCGTGATTAATCAATAGGCTTACAGTCTAAAAGAGAGAATTTCTGAATAATCCTGAATAATGAGATTTAAAAATATTCAATCGAATAACAAGTTATTTACATTACACATGTAATTCCACACATGTAATTCCAGTATCCAGTATCCATAAATTATACATATAATGCTTCTTACGTGTATTGTGCTTTATTCATACAATATTTTACTCAGAGTTCTCGATATAATTTAAATAATATAAATATCGATATATCATAAGCAGGAGTGCTACTGTGGTTTTGGCTTTGAATTACAGTATGACTCTAAATAATCAAAAATAATTTCCTCCAATCTTATGTTTTATATTATAAATTTAATGTGCACACATGTATACCACTAAATAAAATATATATAGTCAGCAAAGACAGACACAATGGGTTAGGACACATGGTTCGTTAGAATCTACTACAGATTTACTCCTGTTTATAAATAATGCAATGACTGAAAAATTAAATTTATTACTATAACATATTTGATATCAGATATCAGCATCAAAAAAGAAGATTAATAAGGCATGGTTACAACTGATAATATTTATGAAAGAATGAAAATACTTGGAAACATCTTGGAAAGCAAATACTATCCCAATGTAGAGGATATTGTCACCTATTGCATTCATCAAACTTGTTGATACGTGTAGAGAAAGGTTTTTTTTTAAATATAGAATATACTTTAATGACGAGTTAAATCTTCATAATTTTTCGATAATACATTTCCTTCTTCACTTATTTATAATTTTGCATTTATTTTACATGAGTAAAGTAGTTCCTTTTCTTTTTTTATAATAGCTTCGCTTAACCCAGTCTTGCAATTACGCTCTGTTCTCATAAAATCGCATCTCTGTATCGTCGAATGATTACATCCAGATATATGTATTTCATACATCTGCGAAAGGTTTTTGCAAAGGAAGAAATATTTTCATTCTTGAAAATATCCAATATTTATTTTTACAAGATCATCGATTATCGATACAAATAATGTTGTTTATTTCCATGCTATGGTACGTCTAATTGGGATGCAACGCTGGACGCATTGATACGTGTGTGATGTACAACTATGATGTCACTTATGCTGTTTTACAGCAGTCATAGGTTAGCGCTATATACTATTAGGGATTGATCCGGTTATGGTATACATTTGTTTATCTATATTAGGGACGTTAGCCCAAAGTAGAAGCGTCGCTACTGAATAGTTTCTTCACAATTCTTCACCATTTCTTCATAATTGTCTTACGTGTCTGGTGCATGCTCACAGCGGATTTCCACCGAATTTTACAAACGATTCTCTTTTTGTTATTTTAAAATGATGTAAAGCACATATTTTTCTGCCTGATACTTTCAACCTGCTCCTACACGTTGAAGCTTAACGTCTCCGCTACAAGCAGCTTTCATCTACTGCACACAGGTCGCCGCTTGTTCTTTGCTGAGCATTTCGCAAACTGCCCCTTTGCTGTTTTCATCAGTTAGATACATGTTACCTCACGTAAAGCTTATACTTTTCTGTATTATTAATACATTTTTGTACTATCTTACGTGTCTCCTCTCACTGACAAAGTGTGCTACGATATTAGCCTTTCCACACTTATATGTTAAGGCATACCTACGATACGTAGCTGTTTAGAGATGCTTATTATATTCTCTCTTTTCTGTAGATCTAATCGAGTAACTTTATTGCACCGAAGTATATATAAAAAAAGATAATGTGTATTTTAGATTCGTTAGTTATCTATTGTGTTACACACGTGACTTAATAACTCAGAATTGATATATCACTATAGAATATTTGTTATTAAGCACATTATGACTAATAATTGTCAGACAGCATGCATTTAGAGAGAGAGAGAGAGAGAGAGAGAGAGAAGACTTTTAATCTTTATCATATAAACTATAGCATTTGCAAAACATGAATATTCTGAATATTATGAATGTATGCACAATAACGTGTCTTTGCTCATTGTAATTAAACTTGTTAGTAGGGAACGTATTCAATATGATAAAGATTGAATTAAGTATACAGAATGTTTAAGAGAATTTCTAAATTCATGTACGCATACAAGCTTTGTAATCGAATTTTTATAAAATGAATTTCTGCGAAAAATTAAACTAATTTCTTGGAAATCGTTACGCTGCTATTAATAATATTACATAGAACATTCTGTATAATGAAGACTATATATATATATCAGTAGTTTCTGCCGGAAGGTAGTTTAAATATTATTTCTACTGGTAAAGAAAGATTGAATCGGCAATGCAGTAGATTCTCGAACGTATGGCATTTCTCACGTACCAAAGTTTTTTCCTGTAGAGACAATTATATTATAATCTAGATCAAAATATAAAATAATAATCGTTGAGTGTTCCAATTTCTATAATTTCTATTCATCTGCAACAAGTGGCACCTCATCGAGCATCTACTCTTTGTGGCTACATGAGGAAGAAATGGATATCAAATAAAAATAGGCGCTAGAAAGCTTTGAAGCTGGAAAAGACTATTCTTGTATATCGATTATAAAATTGCAACTTATCTGTTTCTTCTTGCACACATAGAACGGTATTGTTAATCGCTTCAATCACTTGAAAACCTTATTTAAAATAGGGGTCGACTGGAAATCTTTAACAATTCCTGCGTGTCTGCCCATCACTACCGATTACTTCCCAGACAAGCGAAGCTTACAAAACGATTATGTCGTGTCTGACTACAATCTTCTCCCGGACGACGTTAACGCTGATTTTGCCCAACAGCGAGCGATCTACAAGACACCATTAACCACTGTAGAAGTGTTTAAAGAGTTGGTCTCGCAACGTTTATCCCAGGTATAAATGAAACATTTATTTTTATGTACTTTCAAGTAATTGTATCGAGAGTAATCACGAATATTGCATTTAAGGGTTTCCAGCTGATTATCTTACCGCCAAACAAGAATCAAAGCAACACTACTGGCAGCAATGCCGTTCCCGCAATTAGCACGATAATGCGCGGCAGACAGACTGAATCTGAGCCTAAAGAGGAATATCTACTTAGCATTGGAAGAATTTTTCACAAAATATCACTGTTCGATAATTCTATAACAGTTACGAGATACCGTCCACGGTAAATATTATATAATTTATAATTAGATATTGAGATTGTGTACCAATTAACTGATTGCATTGGATACTTAATAGATCTATACTTAATACATTTTGTGCACTTAGCTTCCACGTTTTAATGGCAGCCCAAAGTGATTTTACAAAAATCAATTTTTCCAAATTTTAATTACCATTTAATACCGTTTCGTGCTTTAATTAAGAATAAGGCATATATTTAAGTAAATTTTATTATAATTAGTGTTTTTCCAGGGTAACATGTTACACACCAACTCAAATAACAAATATTGACAATAATTATATTTGCAGGCATCCTTACCCACCCTTCAATATTCACTATCAATATCGATTTCACGCTCCGCATCACGATACGTACGAGGTCTCGTGGGTATCTTTCACCACAGAAAAACTTGAGACCTATAACTGGAATTATTTAGACCACTACATTTGCACACGGGGCCATACCGATTTTGCTGTAGTGGAAGTGAGTGAATTTCCAAAAGTCCGGTTTCTCGTATGATAAGAAATTGCTAACTTCGATATTTCGTTTTATTTCAGGATCTCAAATATGCTTTCTTTCAGGCTCTCAAGTACTGGAGGTTTCGAGTATTTCTATTACCATATAATAATCCTGCAACCCGCAAAATTTTAGATAGTTCTACAAGATGCGACATATACACTCCGTTCAGTAATGCCGAACAGGCATCGTTAATGGACGGCTTTCTACGCTTCATCGAGGGATGGCTGAACAAAATACGACGGCCGAATCCCAACAAAAACTGGGTAATTTCTCCCTTTCTAATTTTTTTTAAGCTGTATAGAGATGGATCAATCAATCTCAAATTATTAATTATTTGTTAGAGTTTTAAATGTATAATAATATAACAAATAATAGAAGACGTTCCAAAAAGTGTAGTTGCATTATAACGAAACTTTACACGGTAAAGACATTGTCCATTATTTTTCACAAAAATTTCCAATCTTAATTTATTCGATCATTAATTTTCATATCGGATCTTTGTTGTTGCGCAATATTTGAACATATAGTGCTGATATATATCTTTTTGGGACATCCCTTTATAAATATTTTAATTGCAGTTATTCCATTCTATGTGATTTTGATTTAAAATTGCTTGATAGTTTTGTTGTAAATTATGCTGTTTGAGGAGATATATTCTGTCCCCGTTCTTTTATTTCGATATTAAAAAAAGGATATAAGCATATTTTATACACGGAACATAAGTTCAGTTCTTGAAGGCAGTCTGTTTCTCTTGCATATATACGAGAAAATAATGTGTAAAAATATTTTCTGGAATATCTCCTCTATACTATATTTGAATGTTGCATGCTCATATTTGATTGATTTGCGCAGATTTATTTTAATGCTTATGTTGATTATTTATACCTTATTAACTTTCGAATTACGCAGTTTCTGTAAGCATATTTATTGTAGCATAAGAGATAATCTTATTAGCGAAATAATGATCTCTGGCCAAAACCTAATTCTATCAGTTGTAGATAAAAACATTGCTGTATAACATGCTGGAGATACTGTACAAGACACTAGGATATACAGTTACAAGACTAAAAGAGATGCACGGCTTTTTACGAAGCTTCTTTTGACACTTTGCGTTAACGTTAGCCTATAACATGTACAATAGCAACATTCAGCAGTATTAATTTACTACTTAACGATATAATACTTGTACCCCTATACCTATACTACATATACGATCGTTCCGAAATGCATATCAAAGTACTTGTGTAGTTGTTCGCGTTGACAGCAAATCAAGATTATGATTACAAAGTCACAGGTCTCTACTTACTAAATAAAAACTTACGAAATCTACAAATTCGATATGACATACGTATAGGTATGCGATAGGTAGAGACATGTAGCTGGAATGTTTGTATGGGGAGGGTTTTTCAGCATGATATGTTTCAGAGCCCTACAGCTCTAGGTGGTGTCCCTCCAAGAGATCCTGCCTCTCATTTGACCAGACGCAGGCACAGCACGAGCCTGATATTCCTCACTAACCAGGTACATCCTCCCCTCCTGTAGCCTCAGATACACTGAGTCCAGTTGTTGGGATTCTCGTTCACACGAGCTTCCGACTAGTTAATCGCAAGCGGTACAATAAGAGAAAATTTCTTGGAAAGATCCTCGATTCTCTACAGACTGTCGTACACACAATATATATCATTTCCGATACTACTAGAAATACTACAAATAAAGTAAAGTTGCAGCAGGAAAGATAATTTTGCAGAATAGTAAAAAGAAGATTTCGAGATTATCCGGAGAGCGTGAAATAGACGCTCACAACAGGTTGCCACATGGAATATTAACAGTCACTCTTGAAAACTTGTAACTACAAGAATCTCTTTTTACTTGGACGTGAAACGATCTCAGCTGGTGCAATTTTACCCCATTTTTTTTTCAAGGCTAGGCGTATCCGAGTTTCTCGAAATCGCTTCTTTGATACGTGTTACCTGGAATGATCAGGCCAGCTTACACAATACAATATAATCTCACGATAATTGTGACCGTGCTTGATATATTTTTGCATTGAATGTGCATCTATGATTTTTAGCGAGCTTAACCGTTATGCGTCAGATGTTACGATGTGTTTGATTTACACTTTTCTCTCATTTTATATATATACATATATACACACATGCAATATATATATATGTATATACATGACTTACGCCTTATATGAGAGCGACACTTTTTAATGTTAAACATCGCATTCTAGTTACATATACATCTTCACGATATCATCAGCTTGACCATTACCATTCACAGTTACCCATACATGTCATCATACTTTCCAGACCAATCTAGTCGGCAGCTCTCCTTTCAGGGAGCGACTCGGGAGCAACCGTCTGCCAGAGAAACCGAGACCAAGGTTTGAATATGTCTACCTTGATGATTTTCAGCATTGTTGCTTTGCGCCATTCTTTAACTGCGTAGTTTCGCGGACTCCTCTTTTGTTCTTTTTGTTTTCAGTGGACTATTCCAAATTGGTGTGTCGATGGTTTTCATTCTTGCTTGGTCTATTGTGTACGGCGAATGTTCAATCACTGGAGCGAGACACTTCTGCTAATCACATTGTGTTTAATTGGCTTGTTGATTTTGCGGGACACACATTAACTTATCAGTGCTGCATATTTTCAGTGTGCATTTGACGTTACAATTGTCCAGTACAAGAGTGAATTTGAGTTTTAAGTAAAAGGAGGGACAATCAGAGAGCACAACGTCTGATGCCAAAATGCACGATGACGATATGAAGCATAGAAACGTAATATAATCAGTGAACGTAATATAACAGTCATATTTTGTCAGTGCGCAAACTAAGTTAACACTCGCATAACATATCATAATGACTATCCTTTCAACACCAACGTAACACATGTGATTTTACACACAAGATTACCACAGTTACGATCACTTGAAAAGGACCAAAACCCATGGTCGAAACGTCGTGATAATATACCATTAAAATTGCCAGATGTGGTCAATCAATTTTGATGTTTTTAATTTTTGCTGGCGATCCTGAAGAATTTCCGATCAGTTTATAATCAGTGAACTTATTCTTTGACGCTTTCTTGAAATTCGACATTGTTTTCCAATGTATATGGGTACACTAAATCCAATTTCTTTTCAGTTTAACGCTTTTGGTGATTGCTCCATACTCTTGCTAAGATCAGAAGCACAATTAAAAAGGGATGCACAGGTACATCTCTGACACAACATTTTCGGCTCCACTATTATCGTGCATGTTTTTTCTTGTTTTGCGTGATTTTCATATAAAACACACTTGAATGTTCTTTTTTGTGTACTACACACACTAAAACAAGTTATCCTTGCTCCGCACTTTTGCTCATCGCGGGCTTTGATAACAACCGCCGCGACACTGATTAATACCCTCTCGATGTCACTCAATGTGGAGCAGGTGCAACGCATTAGGAGGAAAGCGAGAGAGCCTAAGAGGGATCCCCCCCCCCCTACACACACATAGTTTCTGTATCTTTCAGCTTCTTTCATCTTTTTCTGTTCGTCTTCCGACTAATGCCCGGCCCAGAGAGCATACATACGACGTGCCGAGGGCAAGCGACATGCAAACCAAAGCTTAAGTCTAATGGCATCTGTATGTATGCTCTGTGTGAGCATTTTGGTAGTGAGTGAGGGAGTGACGGGGTTGTTGCTCCTCTGTACAGGAGAGGCATGTAATGAATACCGCTGCGGCTGCCCGCACGTGCCTCGACACTCCTCGCCACGTGCCAAACAGGTTGGTCTCACTCTCTTATTCCTTCCGTAATTCAGATTAAGAATACGAAACTATTCGCGTACGACGTTCAACACTGAACATATATACGCGTTTTACCATACAATATATGTAAATGTACGGGCTCTAATCTCAAACTTATATCGAGTATTCTTTTGGTCTCGCACGTGCGTTTATGAAGTGTAGGAAGCCATGCAATATTTTGTATCAAATGAAAAGTATGTGTTGTGATAAACTAAATTTTATTTTGATTCACTTTCTACTCACTTGAGCGCCAATAAAGTAGCTTGTTATTTAAATTGAAATGTAAAAGGAACATCACTCAAAGTTCGCTGACAGTCATTGACAAAAAAGGTGAAAGGTTGCGATGAACTTTTCTTGTCAACAAGAAAATTTCTTTCTCATTCATTTTTCATGAAGAACATAACATTTAAACTTGTGTCTGTAACTAAAAAAATACTCGGTAGAACACAATGGCATTTGGTATATCTTTCATTCTTGAGATTAACAACGAATCTAACTTGAATAACATCACCTTGCGATAGAAAAGCGTGGAGGGTTCTGTTAAAGTTTTTATCTAATTTGCTGTGAAGTGACATAAAGTAGAATGAAACATTTTTGCTTGTCTTTAGCATTAACATATAAATCGCTTCGTAGATTCTGCATGTCCGCGCGCTAGTAACAATTACTTAACGAATGTTCTCCATTTCCATGTGTGATTTAGATCTGGTTCCAAAGTGATGGACAGAGGACGCGTGTCGCCTGCCAGTGAAGCTGTTTTGCCGTTGTCACTCGAGCAACAGCAGCAGGATCATTTTGACTCCAACGACGACTGGTACAAGGATATCACTTGTATTAATAATTTTCCCTTTAACAGTAAACACCCAGATACATCAATTTGCTGAATGATACTTTAAGAGCCTCAATGTTCATATACAGGATACTTTATTTGATATAACTTATCAGTTTAGAACAAACCTTCAATTATAAGATTTATGAGGCAAAGAGCTATTTTTTAATTTTTATTTAATTTACTTAAAAAGAATGCTTAAATTTTGTTTGATATTGAAAATAATAAAATAATCTCTTCGAGATAGACTTCGGCTGTTCTGGTATCAAATATATAAATGATGTAATAATTATAAACTTGATCACTGTTTGCAGTGCAAATCAAGAGCTGACCAAGATAAAAAGCAATGCAACGAACGTGGAAATTTTGGAAGCCATGAAACACCCTCAAACCGGTGTTGGCTTCTTAACACAACATCCCTCGCTCCCTAGCCAAACGTTTGTTATCACCGATGCGATCCAGTGGCTGAACAACCATATAGAAGGCAGCACGGGGATCAAACAGAGTATTAATATCCTAAAGGTAAAATTCATAAAAATTTGTTATCTATTCGTTGCAGTTTCTACAATTTGAATAAGTACATTTAATCTCCACTTGTACATATTACTTACATTGCATTTCTATGTATATTTTTGCAGTTTGGTTAGAAACGTCGTAACAGAGACACATTAAAATAGAAAATTTTTTTAATTAGAGTGTCAGTTTCTTTAGCAAATAAAGTACTTAAAGTGAAAACGTCACTTAAAAGAAAATGATCTTTGCATATTTCGTTTACGTTTAAAAAAAAAGAAAAGATTTTAATTACAGTTTTGTTTAAAGCTTTATTGTGGCAATAAAATTAAATAATTTATCTTTGTACAGGGAATGATTGAAGATAAATTGATATGCCATGCGTCCGGCGATTTCTCGCAAAAATTTACCTTGGGATATTATTTGTATCACATCGTGCAGGATAAGGAAAATCAAAAAGGTAAATAATGCGACCGAATTTTCAACAATTTGCAATTCAATCGCATTCTTTGGTAACAGCTGCCGACTATTCTGCTCCGCTGGGGAATCTGCAAAGTTTCGAGAACGAGTGGGTGGAAGTGGAGATGAGACCACCGAAAGGGTGGTGCGAACCAACGTCTTCGACGACAGCGTCGACGCCCATAACAATACCTAGTTGCGACGCTATTGACGAATCCAACGTTCCATCTTTTCTCAGAGACGACATAGATTTGAACGAATCGATAGATGATAGAAGTTTCACAGGTACCAGAAGTACTCGGCATGCAATTTATGCGTATACTCTTTATATCACAACATTACAGATACCTTTGAAAATACAAGAGAAGTTAATTTTTAATTCACAATGAACATTAATCCTATACACTATACAGAATAGACATAAAATATATGATCGTCTATCAAGATTCGCATTGATAAAGTAAGATATATAATTCGTTCTCTTTCAGTGCCATTGTATAAACATACTCATCTTGATATCGACATCAATAATAAAAGCGACAGGATTGAATGGGGTCACTTGAGATACCAGTCCATTTACAAAGTAGACAGTGCTTACGAACTCGTAGTACAATGGGTCGCATCATCTGGTAGTATAGTGGCCGATCTGGTAAGCAACTTCACCTCTCTCATTTACTTCGTTACAATGTCGAATTGCTTTTAATCAATCTCTGTCTGTAAGATATTCGTTTGGCAACGCAAGGCTCAAATGTGCGGGATACAGATGATACCGATTCCCAACGATTTGTTGGCGCTGCCATATACCTTAAAGAGCGATCCTCTGAGAGGGCCTGTTTTCATACCACTCGATACGGAATGCCTAATGACAAATAAGCGGCACCTCTTTGAAGGTTTGTCCTAATTAATGATCGTGTTACCAGCCCCATTAAAAAATACTGTTCTATTTGATAATGAATACAAATTTATAGAATTCCGAGAAGATACCTATGCACAAAGGTTGTTTTTATTCCAAGAGGCAATTCTGCAGAGATTCGGCTTCATGCCGTGCTTAGTCGAGAATATCGAAAATGACCGCCAGTACGTTCACATCACTGGTAACGCATTTATATTAGTGCCATCCACCACGAGTACGCGGCCACGTCCACGAACCGGTACCAATGTCGTGCGGCGAAACACTGGGCAGAAAAGATACCCGATTCACCCGGACCAGTCTAGTCCGCACGAAGCATACATTACCAGACACGTTGGTGGAAAGAAGGACGATCACAGCACAGATAGGAAAGTAAGTGACCTTGCCGCATACTTAAACGATTATTTAAACTTTCATATATTTATAATATCGATGTAATAAGGTTTAGATGTAATAATGAGCGTTTTCACTGAAGAAAATTTGAAGAGAAATATTCGAGAATGTTACGGTGCACAAGTTTCAGAACTATTTCGCTCTCTTTCAACATTTTTTTTTTAAGAAACCTAGCATGAAATTATATCTAGAATCATAATTGTTATTAATTTTAGGTAGGTTTTTTGTGGTCTTGGAATCATATGGTCAGCCGCAAATGGAAATCGTTATCTGTTGCGGCGGGCGACGAAGTTTTCCAGAAGAAAATCATACAGGATTTTCGACACTTCTGTTCCAATGGAGATAATAGACTTAAAGAGTTTTGGGAATCTTGTTGGGAGTTAAAGGAAAAAACTTGTACAAAAGCAAAGTAGCAAGATATCGTTTCTTAACGGTTTTTCATCCAAAGATTTATCATCGATCATTTGTGTAAATTTTAATCATTATCGTCATTCGACTGTTAGTTTCAATTTATCGAAAGTGCAATTATACAATAACGTTTTTAATATGTAGTTGATAGCTCTTGTAAGCAGGATGAAAGTATACTATTATATATAATATATACTATTATATATATATACTATTATCTGTATATTATATTATTTAAGCGCTAGAATGATTCATGGTTTGAAATTCGTATTTGGTTATGAGATTCGTAAATAATATGAACGCAGACTCGTCGAGTTTGCATTCGTTGTTTATTATTCATGCCAGCGGAGCGACTTTTTAACAAAATCAAAAAGTGCAAATCACTACGAATTAGTCAATTTATATTGATCGTACATAAAACTACCATACAAACAATAAATCATGAATTGCAGATGATCTGCGCTAGCGTTATGATTAAACGAAACAATGGCGAATCTGGACGATTAAATGAAACAATGGATGTCTGGTCATTGTTATTCGAGAGTGAGAAAAGCTAGGATATTTTTAAAACTGTAGGATTGAGAAAAGAAGAAAGAAATGCAAATCAAGTTGTGGATATTTATTATACTCGTATTTGCTGTCTTTACCATTTTAAGACTTTAACCCACTCCTCGTCTAAATACCTACCTTACACTCCATAACTTTTATTTAATTTTGGGCAACTGAGAATATGTGTATTGTATTATCATATAAAGTGCTTATTAAATACTGTGTTCGATACTTTAGGACGTTATGTGTTCTGAGAAAATCTTTTCTTCATATAATAAACTCTAAAAATCAATTCCTAAATATTTAACAGTAATCATGTCCTAAATATTGGACAGTACTTAAAAAACATCTTGTATATAATACTCGAAGTTGTAAATGCAATTTCGAGATATGTGAAAAGGTGATTTTATACATCTTCCGTAAATCAATCGCGATTCCCAGAAGATTATACATTGAAATCGGCAATTATTGATAAATGAGAGGATTTATATCATTCTCCTCATTCTGACGGGTAGGATGACTGCGCATTATCGGGAATATGTCACCTAAGTCACCTTGTATGATTCGTCATTGTTCTCCCAAAAAATACAACATCGGGTCCATCATGTGAACGGATTCTTGAGCGAGTAATGACATTTTCGAAAGAATATTTACACATAATTGAATCTTAACGAAACGTGTCGATAATTATGTGTCGAGCGATAAGTGGTATCAATGAGTTATCATCAAAAGCGTGCAACAATGATCAATGATAGTATTGACAGCTGGAGGATGGGATCCGAAATTAATGGATTCGCTCGAAAGGGGTTTGGTCTCGTCGATCATCGTGCCTATTTCGACGAAGACGCGACTTTGACGCGGGTGAAAAACTCGAATACCGGTCCCGAGATCCGTTATATCAACCCCGCCATTTATACGGAATCCATCGGCGAGGAAGGGCCTGAGAACGATCGCGAGCAAGATCCAGGTAACAAGCTGATGTTATTTATCATTATTTTAATGTCAAGATGAGGACAACTCTACCTCTCCTACAAGAAGAAAACAAACTTATGGGCCAATTTCACAAACGTCGGTTAACTGTTAACCAGAGTTCAGTCAACTCCCTATCTTTTTCTATCTTGTTCTCTGAGAAGAGATAGAGGATCAATTAACCTTCGGTTAGCAGTTAACCGACGTTTGTGAAACTGGCCCATAGAATACTCTCTGTGTCGATTTTGAGAGTTCGCAGTTCTTCCAGATTGAATTTGTAGTAGCAATATTTAACGATTTGCTTTTTCGCAGGGTGTCGTGAGGGAAACGCGAATAATCGTGACTCCAACATTTCGGTGAACGATCTGCCTGTCGTTGCGGGGGATACAACGTGCGCTGATCACGCGAACGAGCATCCGGGACAGAGCACTTACAGGTGTTACACGACGTCCATTCCGGACTCCTCCCTGGAACCCTCCACGGCTCGATCTGCGACCTCGTCCGCGAGCACCGCGCGGGTGGAGCGACGATGCAAGATTGTTTCCGTTGATCAGAATGAGGCAAACGTTGATCAGAATGAGGCAAACGTTGATCGGAATGAGACGATAAGACGGGACAAGTATATATTTCTCAATCTGATATTTGCGACTTTCGGCGATGTATAATACATGAATACTAGTGGGTCAATTCTGTGTCTTACACTATAGTGAAAATGCTGAAAGTGCAATAGCTTTGTCTCTTTCTAATCGTTCCCTTAGAAAGAGACAAAGTCGTTCGCTTTTAGCATTTTCACTATATTGTAAAAATACAGAATTGACCCCTAGGCTTAGCATCCGGAAGTTGGAGAGCAAGTTTTCTATTGTATTCCGACGTTTCGTAAACACTTCAGTTCGCTTCATCAAGGAGAAAGAACCTGGTACTGAGTACCTGAGATCAGGTTGTCCCTGCCTGATGCGAACTGAAAAGTTGACGAAACGTCGAAATAAAGTTGAAAATTTGCGCCGCAACTTCCAGAAACCAATCCTAATATTTGTTTCGCGTTTCTCACGACTTTCGTTATACGCCAAAGAATATTTGCGCGAGAGTACAATGTCGCAGGTGCGTCCTGGACGGTCGGCAGGTCGTGCGAATTTCCACGACGTCGATCACGACGAAATCAAGCAACGTCGACGATCGTCAGGCGTCGAACGGATGCGACCTCGACAGAAGGATCGCTTATTCGGAGTGGATGCGGAGGAAGCACGAGGCCGCGCAGCGGGCGAGGGAGAAAGAGGAGCGCGCTGCGAGGAAGCGGGAGGAGGAGGAGGAGAGGGCGGCGCGGGAGAAGGAGGAGAGGACGCGGCTGGAAAAGGAGAACTTCCTCAAGTGGGTCGAGAGGAAAAGGCAGCAGGAGCTCGACAGGAGAGCGATGCTCGAGAACGAGTTGGAATTGCAGAGGCGTCTGAAGAAGCTCGAGGATAATCTCGCCGGCGCGGATATCACGTATCTCCGTCGGTGGTATCACAGGAAGAAGGAGGAGCGGAAGAGTACGGCGGGGTTGTACTTCCGGCACGGCTTACCGAGCCTCGTGCACGCGTGGCGGAACAGATAAGAATTGTGGTTTGTCCTGTTTTGCAGCCCGATGTAAGGAGCAGGAGGCGAGGCAGAGGAAACTGGACGAGGAGCGCGAGAGGCGGCTGGAGCAGAGCAGGAGGGCGTACGAGAAGTGGCGAGAGAATTCTAAGAACAAGCCCAAACCCGCCACGCAAGGACTACTTCGTGTGTAAAATGCAATACAATCCAGATAGCAATCTAAAAAGAATTCCTTTCGAATTTTCGATTTGTAAAAATGAATTCTCTTCCCATCCCATTTCTGTCCTTAAAAAAACATTTTTAAGAGCTGAACAAGGATTCGCCTTTACATCACCAATTCTGAGCTCTTTTGCAACGAATAAACGAGTAAACAGAATTCTTTTTATACTCTATCAAAATTCGCCCAAATCCGGAAAGGAATTCTTTTCGAGTTTATTTTGAAGAAATTACGCTAATTCGTAAATAATTTTTCAAAATGAATCCCGTTGGAATTCATAAGCATCATCTATGCTATTTTTGGAAATAACGAAGCGATCGATGCAAGCACAGAGATAACATGTGTGCCGGATGATTCTTCATTAGGTATCCAATTATATAGTGACGCATAATTAAAAATGGCCCTCTGCAGGATGTTTCGTACTGTTCTACCGCTAAAGATAACATTTATATAATTACTGTTGTAATTATGATATAACGAGCGGCACAATTTAAACGGATTAATTTCCGTTACAAAAAGGGAAATGGATAATTTCTGTGAATTGAAGCTGCATATAAAAGAAGTTTTATGCTACATTTTCGACTTAGTTCTGCATGTAAAATCACCCCCTTCCCGCTTGTACCATCAATTCTGGGACACCTTCTACGTGTTTGCATTGCTGTGTAATTTTTTTCATACGGATAACGGATAAATATCTTAAAATGAAATATCGCGTTGTCTTCCAGCGCATCAGAAAGCGAAGCCAGGATACGTAAATCCAATTCCTTGGCAATCGATCGTGGAGATCGATCCCGATGAAGCGCAGTAGGATACGTTTCTCGAGAAGAGGGGGAATATAAATCGGTTGAAGATGAGCGGCAGAAAAACGATCGCGGCGCATCAATGACTGTAATCGAGAAAATCCATTGGAACACCTGAAATACGATTTGAACACGAGAATTTATAATTTTATTAGCGTATAATAAATTAAAAAATCTTTCCGATCATTTCTTGCCGTTAAATTAAACACAAGTCTTACTTGGGGGCTTTAATTGTCAAAAAATTTAATTATAATACAAAGATATGCAAGGTAAGAAAAAATGATTTGTTCTTCCCGTACAACTTTCGCGAGGGAAAATTTTGGAATTTATATACATTTCTACTGGCGGATCCCCCACAATTCCACCTTCCCTCCTGGCGAGTGTAAGGGTTGCGCAAGGACAATACGATATCACATCTTGATTGATATATGTCAATTTGATTGAAGTGACTTTTAATGATATAGGTTTGTTCACACGTTTAATGACAACCTGTGCTACATAATACAAAGTATTTGATTATAACAAGACAAAGCAGACCTCGTGACTTTGTAATCGGTATCTCTTTCTCTCTCATTCACGCTTTCTCTCTCAAATAATTATCAAACTATTACACCTTCAGCCCCTCTAACGCGAGAAGAACACACCTATTATTTCGTAAACCGTTAATTGTATAGTACGAGAAATATCGCGTGAGAGCTTTTCTCATCGTCTATTTGCCATACGTAAGACACATTATCTTCCTTGGACAACGACCTTTTCTCTAAACAATGTCTCAGTCGCTTTCGTTCACACACTCGTCACCAGATTATATACAATATACACAATACTTGCATTCTTACAAAGCGCATCCTACCGTGTAATTTACAATCGAAATGACAAATTTCCGACAATCGAGCAATATCGAGTCGAGAGAGCAGGGGGGGGGAGGGGGAAGTGGGGCATATAATCGTTTTACGTATATGCGTACGAGTGCGTACGTAACAATCATATGTGTAGGTATGCGGTAAATATTGCTTTTTGTACATTGTATTCTGGTATACACATGTACACGTAACTTATAGCCTAACGCTCCTTATTCTTCACGCAATGCCTCGCTGACCGTTTTCGAAGAGGGAAAGGCAATAAAGCAGCGATTCGTGAAGATAATGCGCGAGTATATATATATTTTTTTGTAAGGGCGGCGATAGTACCTTCCTTTGTCCCATTGCTAAACACATTTAGTCCAAGTCGACCGATTCAACGTCGTCTGCGTTAAATTGATCTTACGTCACGTGTGACGAAAAATGAATATTACGCTCTTCTTTCGCGAACTGAAGTTCTATCGCGGCTTTATAATATTCCTCTCAATTATCTGTCGCATCTTTGGGAAAAAAAGAAATACGCGGCTAAGAGGAACCGATGGGAATTCAATCTACGAGAGTGAATTTGAAAAATTCCACATCTTCGAAATTACTTTAAAAAAATACACCAACACTTTCCTCTTGCGATTTCTTCGTAGAGTAAAATACAGCGACATAATTGGGTGTTCAGAAAGAGACACGACTGTAAAATTGTATTCTATTATCTAATAAACGTTAGAATACGATCTCGTAAAGTACCTTCCTTTTCACGAAAGTATGAATCTTGTCATTTAATTACATTTCAATTACTGTCGCGCATCAAGCAATGCAAAAGAAAGAAAATTAAAAGTTCTCAATCCTGATTTCGAATTGTAGACGTTACACAAAATGAATCCCACTCGGATTTTTCCGTTGCAGTTTACAAAGAATCGGAGATTCTCTGGTATCCGTGTTTGCTGCACCATATATTGTGGCAGAACGTTGCGAAAATTCCGTAAAGATAAAGCCCGAAACGGGCATAAACTTTGCAGAAACGAAAACAATTCCAATCAACGAGACACTAGAAAAATATCCGCAATATACTCGCCTCTGCATACGTGAGTTGTGTCTTTCCCTAATCTATATTATATATATATATATATATATGTATTAAATGTATTTGTGTAAATCTTTAAATCTTCGGCCTTATAGAGTGCATCTGCGTATAAAAATCTTATTCTAGGCTATTATATACGTATGTAAAATATGTATGTGTATGTGTGTGCGTGTTTGTGTGTGGATTTATACATGCCTCGAAATAAACCAATCTCTCGCGTTTGATTTTCAACTCTTTACGGAATTTTTTCACGACTGGGCTACAGGAACGAGTCGGGAGAAGAAGGTAAAAGATTTGCGATAAATACTGCGTATGCGTGCACATAGGTACGGCAGGATCGCAGAAAATGCGATCGTTTTGTTTCTAATGACGTTGATCTTCGATAAACCACGTGATTCTCGATGTACCGTGCACTTTATATTGTTTCTGATATTAATTAACGAGAAAAGTTGACTAATCATAAAAGTATTCAGTAGAAAAAGTCCTTTATTATGAGATAGCGAGGTTTCGGCAACATTAATAGGCATCATCTGTCGGTTCCACCATGAATTTATTGCTCTTGGAGTAAAATCCCTTACGGAAAAGAACACTCAAGTTTCGAGTGTTAATATTTAAATCTGGGTGTTTACGCTCAAATTTGAGAATATAAATTCGGACAATCGAGTGTTAACACTGAAAACCTGTGTGTTTTTTCCATAAGGGATCTGTTTAATAAAAACTTTATTGTTAGATTGTGTAATAGTTGCACAAAGAGATTTGTTATTGAATTTGGATGTTGAAAACCTGCTATCTCATAATCGGGGACTTTTCTCTAATAGTAAAAAAGGAACAAACGATTTCATTAAAAGAATCGCCTCCCTTTTGCATAATTTTGATGAGTGAGTTACGTTAAGAGTCCGCCAACGAAATCTGTGTGAAAAATAAATAATTTAATATATAATTGGATCATAAAGTTAATTACGCCTCCCTTCTGTCAAGGGCGCTTTTAGACTTTATAATCCGTGAATTGAATTATAGTTCTTGGAAGAAGGGTGGCGCGGCAAAAAATTGGAACGTATCTCCGAAAGTCCTATTTCTGATCGCGAGACGTTTAGAAATTCGCAAGTTTAAAAGATAGATTCCAATCGTCCCTTCAGGGTTCATAGGGTTCTCTCGCAGGGGCGTCTCGTGATTGCGTCGCCGCCCATGCGATAAAATCCTGAGGGGGCATTTTAATCCCCTAGAGATTGATTTCCCCCTCCCTTTTCTCTATCTCCCCTTCTGTTTTTCTCTTTTCGTTACTGTTCGTTACACCAATATTATGACGCGAAACCAAATACTGCACGGAAGGGACAGATTCGAGACACAGACCGACGCGCAGAGCGGACAAATAATCGGACGCAATGTGAAATGTTGGGGAAGAACGTAAGCGTCTCGCTTTCACAACCGGAAAAAAGGTTGATACAAGATAGCGTGTTTCAAGAAGGAATGCGAGAAAGAGAGCCTTTCGGGCTACTCGTACATCAGAGGTCGTAGATATCTCGAAAATGCATACGTACGTGCGGTGAAAGCAGCACGGGAATTGACACAATCTTAAATAAATCCGACAGGCTACTAAAGTTACACCCTACCTGGAGGAGAAAGGAAAGGAGAGAGCGAAAACGCGCGAAGCTATTCAAAACACGTTCGATTTTAGCTGGGTGCAATCGCGACGCAAAGGACACAGCAGGGAGGAAAGGGATGGCCGCGGGGAAAAAGGAGGAAAGAAAAGCGACACGCTTTTTTTTGCGGACACGAGAAGGGAAGAGGAGGAAGCCGGAGGGAAAGGGTGAGAGCGAGACGCGCCGACGTAGGGGAGAAAGCCCGTAGGGGGCGAAACTCTCGATACTCCAGAGCCCGTGGCTTCACCCTCCGTAAATTCTACGTGCCGGGAGGGAGCTGTTCGTTAAAGCCGAGCTATCGACGCGGGGGAGCGTCTCTTTAAAGGGCATGAGGGTGTCCGTGAATCGCCACCCCCGTACGCCGAGAGATATGGGCATATCCGTCTTAAACTCTCGAGTGCGTGGACCGAGCCTCTTTCTCTTTCTCTCACGAGCTCCTCCCTTCCCACCCCGTCTCCTCCACCCTCGCTCGTCACCCTCTCGCGCAGCACATTCGCGAGCGAAACAACCCCCCCCCCGGCTTTCCGCCCACTCCCCCGTGCTTTCGCCGTTCCCCTTCTTTCGCTTTCATTCCTCTTGCTTTCGCGCGCCAATTCTGCCTTCCTCCCGCCCTCCCGCCGCGCACACCCTTCTTTCTGCTTTAGAAACGTCGGGGGCTTGAGAAACCGAGCGAACGTGCGCGATGTTATAAGTTCACCGATATAAATAGTTGGTATTTTTCACGGCGGTAAGAGCGACACCGAAATAGTTGAAGACCCAGGAAATATTGCGGATAATAACACGATTCGCACGTGCGTGTCGGGGGCACTAATTAGCTCGACGTGAAATTAAACTTGAGAAGCGCGCGAGACTCCCTAGACGAGAGTTACGCAATGTACGCGCTTCCGCGAGCACGTTTTGAAAAATTCGACGCGAGATCGACGGCAACGCGAAGGCCCGTGTCCGCGCGACGCCTGCAACTTGCTCTAGTTTCGAGGGATGCGTATAGCAAATCAACTTGCAGCTCTTTCGTAAAAGATGCAAGGTGATTGACTGCACATCTCTCCAAGCTAGAACCTGGACACACTTCTTGGATCGTGGGCGCCTTGAGAAGATGGAACGAGCTGGTAGCGGGGTATAACGGGGAGATAAGCTGAAAACAAAAATAACAATATGAAAGAGGGTCAACTCAATGTTAGTTTAATATGAAAAAATGTGTAATCCGTTCAATAAGAATAATAATGATACACAATCATAAAGACGATAATAATAATAATAATAATAATAATAAAACGTAATGCTAGTAATATGTAATGTTTGGCATCGTTATGTGTTTGCGTCTGTACAATAGTCCATTTTCCGCGGCGTTCTCGTGGCCTTTCTCGCGGTTCGTGAACCGCCCCCACGTAACACGCCGAAATTAATGTACTGTAGATTCAGCGAGTAGAGCCCGTTCGTCCGGATGCTGGCGGATGCGGTATAATAATAATTAACACGATGAAGCCGGCGATTGCAAAATTAATCAATTAACAATAACGCAAGTAGCGGTGGTAGCGATCGTGACGATCGACATTGCGGGGGAGGGGGGGGGGGTAAAATGCCAGGCGAAAATATGAAACTGCGATAACAGTGAACCGCGGTAAACAAATTAAATTCCGCGGCGGATGATAACCGGCTGCGCCGTCGCTCTTAATATTAGCGCACGAGATTAACGTAGTTTAACCGTACGGGAGAGACAATTCGCTCTCGTTCGCCGGAAGCGACGGCGCGCTTTCTCTCGCGCGACTCCGCGCCGTCGCCTCTCGGCCTCCCCGCCGACGCGACATTATGAATTAATAACAAGGCTCGCGCGCAACGATCTATCACGCAGTTTTGACGAGCAGCCTCCTCCTCGAATTTCCGTAAACGTCAACGCCGCGGCGTAAAACGCAAACGACCCTTCGGGGATCGCATTCACGCTAGAAACAATCTTCGCTGGCGAAAAGAAGAGAGGAGAGGTGAAGGGAAAGATAGACGAGAGGAAGATATCGCTTACGTATTTACAAAATCCTAAACAATTTTTTTTTTACGCTAAAAAACTGCGAACGGTCCCCTGGCGACGCGGGCTGTTCCGCGCTTGTACAGAATGTATCGAGGACACATCTGAGAATATCCCTGTATCCTATAAGCTTTACGATATCCTCCGAATATTCTCAGAATCCGCACGTGCCGGGTCAGGGTCCAGGATAGATTAACACGTACACCGATTTCCGTGGATGTGTAACAAACGCGGCGGGACGTGTCCCACCCCCCAGAACCATCGCATGTTCTTTCACGTGAGGATGCTCAGAACTTGGACTTTCAATCCCAGTCTCCAACCCGTCGAGATCATCATTGACAAGCTCTTAATTTACAACATTTTGATTATTAAGCCCCACATTAAGATTTTATTAAATTAATCTCGCAACTGTGTCGCGTGTATATGTATGTGTGTGTGTGTGTGCGTCTATGTTTAAGCATTAATCGAAAACACGACACGTCGTATACTCGTGCCTTAACATGTCGCGTAATCTCCCGCGGCTTCGAGCCTAAATAATCCTACGCATCTCCGCCGAAGAGTCCGCGACTTTTCAGAATGTACACGGAAACCAAAATGACGTTTCATCAACAAGATCAGTGTAATCGAAATAAAATCGTTGAAACATCAATATTAATGAAGGAAAACCGTCAGATGGTTGTCTTAATAATCTGGATATTTAGTTCAATGCTTAAAATCCATAGCAAATACAATTGAGCGAATTATTTATGCTCGTGGCAGCCCGTGACGTTAACATTGAAGCAGCTTCACTTTTGTTTAATTCAACAGCATTTCTTTCCGTGTACAGTAATTTGGAAACGTCCTCCATTCCGACTGCGAGAGAAAAGAAAAACAGGATAAATCCGTAAATACATTTAACAACTAAAGCGCGGAGCAGCTACGTATAGTACATATGGTAACCCAGTCGTGTCTCCTCCACCTCCGCCAAACGGGCAGCGAATTTGATTGAATCGGATGCTCCCGCATCTCCTGCGAAACCCGGTGCGACGTTCTTTCATTTTCGGGAATATGAAAAATAAGCCTCTATCGTGTCAGGTCACTTGATATGATTATCGTTGAAAGGGCGGCGAATTGCGAGTCTTCGCACTCTCTTTCTCTCTCTCTTCCCTCCTCTTCCTCTCCACCTGCCCTTCTCTCTCGTGCACCGACCTGACAAGGTTGACATTAGCTACGTGGCGGAATTACAGTATTATACCACGGTGATTATACCGGTGGTTATGGATTTACTCGAGCACGGCGTCAGCCGAGGGTCTCTCTCGCCCTGATTCCCTCTTTTTCGCCACCTTTACTGCCGAAGATCCCCGTGGGGCAAGTACAATAGAATTTCACACGGTTGAAACGCGAAGATTATAAAGAATTATTCGTAAAACGCAGGCACGGAGCGTGTTTATTTCAGGATAAAAGCCGTTTATCTGAGAAAAAGATGCGTTGGGTGTCCAAGAAAAAAAAAAGGGAGACCGCGTACCTACTTATTTCTGGTGCGAGCCTTTCCTGGAATAAATATCGAGTAATCTCTAACGCGTGTATCCGTATTTACTCATACATACAGGCTCGGCGGATTTAAAAACACTCGCGGAGATTTGCCAGTCCGCCAACGAAGTAATCACTGTCTAACGATCGATTTCTCAAACGGGGACGGAGAGTTACTTTGTTTCGCGCTTTAGCTCGTTAATAATAGAAATACATTCCGAGAGCGAAGCTCCACTGTCTGCACAGGGTGAAGTTCTCTCCCGGAAAATGCAGGGCGTAATTCCGAACAATTTCGTCAGGTTCGTCTCGTAAGAAGTTCTGGGAATTGCGTCCCAGCGAGAAATGATTCATCGATTGACGTCGAAGCGATGGCGATCGTTTCGACGAATCATTTCTCACCGAGGTCCCTCGAGCTGCGAACTGATGTCCTCATAAAGTGCGTTTGAGGGTACGAATTAATGATCAATTACGTCATCTTAATCTAGGATTGCCGAGGAACGGGTTAGACAGACCAGGACTGCAATTAAAGAAAACCCAGCGATATCCGTCACGTCAGTCCGCAGTAAAGACCAACAGTTGCATAACATCAATATTATAATTTTTTACTCAGCAACATAAATGTAACATGTGCACAACGGTCACGTAGTTGAATAGGAAATTATATTGATGATTTATGCTGACGTTTACCGAGCGTATCGCTATTCTCGATTCAGAAAATTCACGCGTCGTTTCTTCTCACGCGACAACCTCGGCCGTTTTCGCGATCGCAGTCCCGCGACTCGAACAAATAAATTCACAGATTAGTGGAACGAAACACGCGAGGCTCGTGAAGGTATACAAGTGTGAAAAATATTTGCGAAGAAGCTCGGGAACGATCGCGAAAGAGACGGCTAACGACAGAGCAATTTTACTCGATTTGTTCGATGGCTCCGGATCTACTTTACGTTCGCTCAAACGCGGGACCCACGACGGTCACCGAGTCTTTGCACCCAAAGTAGCACATGCTGGTCTTTCCAACGCGTTTCCTAAACATTTGCGAAACATTAGTTACGTTTAGGAAATATACATAAAACGTGATACGAAGCATCGCGTGTTATCTGGGACGTCACGCGCGACCGGCAAGTTGTCTTCTGCCCGTCGAACGTTCGTTCCCGTTAAAGCAGTCCTGTTGGTTTTGCATAGGCTCGAGCTAGTTGAAAACGAGCCGTCTTTGGCTTTTCCTTTCGCCTCTCGCCCGTCACCGAGGAGAAAGAGAGAAAGAGGGAGAGAAAGCGCGGTACGCGAGACAGCGTGTCTTTCTCAGCGCAATGGAAAAAGAAATGATATGTCTTCTTACGCATCTAGGAAGGATCAACAGCGGCTTTCTTAGCACACACGCTCGCTCGCTCGCTCGCTCGCTCGCTCGTCGCCTTGTCGCAAGACTTTTGATATTCCTGTAGGGTATAGAATTCTGGCGCTTTCCCGCGGCACACGCGACAACAAGTTAGGACCCGTATGACACTAGAAACTAGACACTACTAGAAAGTATATGTAGTATAATATCGTTACGTATATGCGGTAGAGCGCGGACGAGTTACGTCGAGTTTTTCGAGAGGTGGGCTCGGATGATCAATATTTGCAGACGGGACGAAAAGTAAGAGTGAGCGGTGAGCCTCCGAGAAAACTAATCGGTTAAGAAAACAGTTTCACGAAAACTGTAAGCACACGACGAATTGTACGCAGTATATACAAGTATAATAATTTACAATTTTACACAAATAATTCCACATGATAGTAAATCACACATGGCATTTATATATAATATATATTATAAATATATTATATAATATATATTAAATATTATAATTGGTTTGCGACGGAATTTCGATCGTAAATAAATATTGATCCTCCGAGAATCTTTGTACAACGAAACTTAAAATTTCGTTATTGCCATGTCAGCCTGCGACAGAACCTCTCGTTACAGGCGCGCATACGCAGAAGAAAGGGAATTTGAAATTAAGACGGTGCTGAGAGGAGTCGCCGAGGTACCTCGCTGTGCCGTTTCACGACACAACGGCGGACCGCACACGTGTGCACGTTCGCTCGTTCTCGCCGATGCGACTACGACGCGCGTAGGGATGCTGCTTCGTAGGAGACCCCCGTGTTCACGTGTTCACCGCACATTTAAACGCCGAACGTGTAGCTAAACTCCACCCCGGTTTGCATTTTCTTCGCCCCACGCTCGTACCAAGTTCATCCGAACTGGATCCCAAATGAAACATGTTGGTATACGTTTCCCTTATACGTTTCCTAAACGTTTATAAAACATTGGATGCGTTTAAGAAATATATATTATATAAAACGTATATGAACCACCATGTACCATCTGGAATGAGCCGAGTTTAGCGCTGAACCAGACGCCGAGTGGGTCCCGAGAGGTCTTATTTTCGGGGAGTTATTAACGCGTTCGCGGAAACATCGAACGGAGTGTCGCCGTTAACGTCGACGCTGTTAAATTCTCCCTTTTCGCCTGTGCTCCGCACAGAAACGTGTGGCACGGCGGATCGCTCGAGGTCCCTTTAAACAAGCACGTGCGTTCTCGCGACGAGGTCGGTCGGTGTGAAAGGCACGCAATGAGAAGTCGGCGGGATAAAGGAGGAACGGAGGCGCCTCCCGCACGTTCCCTGCGCTTTTTCCTCTTTCCAATGTCCATTAATTTCAATCGTAGATTAATTTCAATCTCGGCTTGACTTGCCTTTCAGTTTTTCATCCAGTTCTAAGAATTAGAAAAAGATAAAAGACGCGTTAAACCGAGATTAAAGTTAATCTGCATTGGCGAAGGTGGATCCGAGTGCTTGAAATGTAAGGGAGCTTCGACTACGCGACACGCGTGTTTCGGCGGGATAGGGGCTCTCCGGAAAACAGCATTCCGGCCGACTGTCGAGCGAATTTTCTTTCCCGAATTGACAACAATTCACCCCGGGTGAACGTCGGTCCTCTCGAGCGCGGTTAAACGGGCCCACCTCACGCAAACGATGAGAAACAGGTAATTGCAATTGCGTGGATTCGTGAGGCTGGTCGCGCGTTATTACAGCACTCCTCTCGCTCAATACCGTAATTAACGCTATATTGCAGCTTAAATCACGAAACGCATCACGTCAACGCACTTAGTGGATCTGCACGCAGGTAAAAACACTTTCTCGCGCGACTTGCGTCGTTACATCTGAGAAAAATAAACGTACAGAGGCAAACGCATCTTAGCAAATCTTCCTCCGCACAAACGCACGCACGCACGCACGCACGCACGCAACATGCACGCAACTCGACACGCGCAGCATCCATCGAGTAAATTTCATCATTCGGGCAGATAGCCAATTGCATTTCGCTCATGGAGCTCGTCTTTTGCGATTGTTGACCTCGCAATGAGCCGCATTTTAATCTTCGCAAGTTTATACCTTGGAAATGACTATCGAGTCTTCACAGCGAGCGCGTATTCGAACTTCTCTCTCTTTGATTATCTCAGATTGGAACGGGAGTGCTTGCTCGTTAGAAAGGAGCGTATCGAGTGAAAAAAAAAAAAACGTAAACGCCAATAAATCGGCCGAAACGACATGCATGTTATATATATGTATATATGTACATATATACTTCTATAAGTATATACGTACTTCTATAAGTATATATGTACATATATACTTATCAATTTTATTAATTTTGAAACATAAGAAACTACTTTCAACAATTCATATTGTGCCAATAATATAACATACGCTATCTAACAATGTATATTGAACATCTTAAAAATAACAAGACTCATAAACAAATCTTCTCGATCCACCAACACTGGTGCACAAATACATGTAAATAAGGAAGCGTTTATATAATCAACTAAAAAGCGCACAACTTGTGTTCGTGGCGAAATCTACGCTGTAACCGCCGCCTTCCCGCGAATGTGTACCGCGTGGAACGTATTTTCAATTCCAATTGAAAAATTTAACATATCTCCATCAAGGAAAATTTTTCAATTGCGGGTCTATATTCGCATATTGTATTTATGGGCCTGTTATGGTTATTTCCAGAAGTTTATTCTACAGTTCGCCTTATTTGTCATTCTTCGAATTTGTCGAAATATCTAGACCTCGTTTCCTAGCCGGTCGCTCTCCCATTCACTTATCATAGGTATGTTTATTGTTTATGAGATGTGTATATAAAAAAATATGAATCGTCTCGTTTTCTTCTATTAGAGGTAGATACGCAGGAAACAGAAGCGATATATTCTTACGTTACTTTTTTTCCCCCATTTTCGTTTTCTTCCTTTTTGGGTGTGTCATTCCGACCGTCACGCGCCAGGTCGTCTCTCTCGCGGTTGAAAGCAATCCTCCTCTCCGAAATTCGCGCGCGCGCGTTTGAATGTAAATCACTTAAATCAGACTTGGCCAAGTGCACAGCATAATAATCGTAATCACACGTTAGAGCACGCTTTAGGTAAAAAATAATTAATTGCCGCACGAGAGAGAGTAAACGAATTTCGGATTAAACACGGACCTACAGATATTTTATAAAATAGTTACGTGGCATCTGGTGCAATAATCCAACAATTTCTACCTACCGGCACTTAAGGTGCCAACTAACTTTAATTTTACTTACATACATTTCTATAATATAATAAAATAATTAGCTGGTCTATATATGTATATATACATGTATACTACAAAGTAGTATATATGTATATATACATATACATATATACTACAAAGACACAAGAGCCTATAACAGTAGGAAGTTACAATTTTTTTCCCTTACCTGACGATAAACACTTTTTTTTTATTGCAAAAGAATTTGTGTTCTACATTTTGGTTAAGTCCAAACAAAACTAACACTGGTTTTGTACGCGCACACGTATATGTATAAGGGTGTTTATGCAAATATATACAATTACCAGATTGAAAGACAAACTATAAAAAAAAATGGAACGTTAATGGAAAGTTGCGATGTCTGCGTATACAGCTATTTTTATGTACATAAATTCGATAATGCAGAGTAGCAATACAAATAATTAATGAGCGTTAAAACATTAATTGAAGCGTTATAAACGAGAACCAAGTAAATATCCGACTCCGACTTGTTCTTTCTTTTTGATAGGAAATGCGCCGTAACCTAACGGAACGTTGAATCTCTTGACTACTTCGTCGTTTTGCTAAATTGCTTTTTATCGCGTCTCGCTATTCGGAAAGACGCTGCGCCGTTTCCCTGGGCTTGATATCCTCCGCATTACGCGCGACACTCCGATACAATGAGGTCGTACGTTCACAACTATTCTCGTCACTTTCAGCCAGTTTCAGCGTCGTTATACTCAACGGTCGCAAGTATGATTCTTAATCACCGACCGTGAACACCTTGCATCGACGGCCCGTATCCCAGCTAGGATGACGCGGACATTCAACGGCACGGATTCGCGTGAAACAGCAGCAACGCGACGACCGGCATTCCCGTAACGCGCAGTAGTAATGTTCTCGATGGCTGTGGCGTTTCGCGCTAGTGTACATCGCCGGCTTGGCGTCAGTCAGAGCTGCTGCTGCTATTTCCGAAATACTCGCCGGCGTCGCCGCGGCATATCGGACATGTTCGGTTGGACTGCAAAACAAAATTATTTGCAATTTGTAATTGCAAAACGTTATTCCCCCGAATTAAGTCAAGATCGAGAAATGGACTCACCTTAAGCCACTTGTCGATGCACTTAGAATGAAACTCGTGGGAGCACGGCAGAACACGTAGAGATTGGAGGGCCTCGAAATCGCACATGCACACGACGCAGTTGGTTTGATCGCCCTGGTGTGTTTCCGCGTTGAATTTGTAGGAGGGCAGCTGTTCGACTTCCGCGCGAGTCAAACCCCGCGGCTTGGCCTCGCCCAGCCTCTCGGCCAAGGACAGCAGTGCCTCGTAGTTCTCCGTGACCGACTCGGGCGAGGACAGTTCGGCCTGATTATAGGGCGACAGCGGTGGATTGCTGAACATCGCTCTACGAGTAAACATCGCCATGTGGATTAAGCTAGCATTTTCGCGTGCGCTAGGGACTTGCAACGATATATACGCGGAGGCTTTACGTACAAGAAGTGTAGTAAATAGCCTGGATAAGCCATTGGTAATTGAGTCGTGTTCCTCCATCTACCGAATCGCGGCCGTCGCAGAACGTTGGACGTTAGTCGTCGGTTTCTGTTCTGTACGATCTCCAATTGACTGTTTCGCGTCTCTGACAGGAATATGGGCGGCGGTGTCGGTACCTGCGCGAGAGCCGGTGGGGAATAAGAATGTGGTAACGGCAATGGCGCACCAGCCGCGGCGCCCACTCTGTGGTGATGATGAGACTCTATCAGTTCGAGCTCGACTTCTCTCTGGAAATGCAAACGTGTAATGAGAACATTAGCAGCCGAGCGAAAATATCGTGGCCTTTAGAAATTGAACAATGAGCTCTGCAGTCTACGAGTATTCACAGTCCGATCTTATATTTATAAGATTGTCTAAAGGGCAATCTCGAAATGTTGCACAGTCATTTCATTGAGTGGATCATTTAGGCCACCCAAGACCGGACTTGGAATAATCTTAAATGTAAGATCGGATTATGAAAACTGTCCTGGACCATGTTTTTCCAAGTTCACCTGCTGGGACAATTGATGATGCGCGGTGTAATCGGTGTGGACGGCCGGTGGACCCGCGGTGTGCAGCCCTGCGACACCACCGGCTGGTGGTGCGTATCCTCTGGGAGCGGCACCCACCAGAGAACTGACAATTCCGTGAGTCGGATGCGTTGCATGGGCAGCGGAATAATGACTGTGATGAGGCGTCACCTGAATAAACGGTGTACGTAGTAAAAATGGGATTTACCTAGTCACAAGAGGAGACATCAAAGGCCAATTTGTGTACTGGGTGAAAGACTCGATCATTCGCAACGGACAACCTTGTTGCCGGCCTACCTGGCACGAGTGTCCAAACGGATGCGTTCCGTGAGGCGAGTAGAGGCTGTGAAGCTGACACGGAATCCTGTAGCCAGTCGCCTGAGGATGCCACAGCGGCTCGCCGCCAACGGCGACTCCTAGGCCGGACACGCCGACTTGGCCGACGTCGACGACCACGGGCGCGTTCGCACCCTGCGCGGGATGGTGCCCCGTACCACTGGCCGCCGGATGCGGATGGGGATGCGCCTGGTGCGGGTTGTGGATGTTGTGGTGGGAATTGTGCAGACCGTGCGGGTGGGAGCCGTGGATGTTGTGATGCGAATTGTGAAGGCCGTGATGGGAATTGTGGATACTCTGGTGGGGATTGTGACCCATGAACGGATAGGAGAACCCCATTGAGTCCGCGTATCGCTGGTAACGTTGATTCCTGACCGTCGAAATGCCGCGGGTGGATATGTGATTGCGGGGCGAGCGCCGTTGTGGCGCGCCTCCGAATTCCCAAGGCGGCGGAGTGTGCAGGGGTGGCGTCGGCGCTGGCGGCGGCGTTTCCCGGACCTCTATCCCGGACACGGCGCCGTTGCGAGATATTCGGCGACGCTTCCTAGACGGCGACTCGCTCTGAAAAGACATCGCGCTCTGTATTCGTTTGTTCTCCCTTTACTTAGCTTCCGCTCTCGGGAGTTGAGCGCGCCGTTTCAACAAGAGCTCTCGGTTTGTCGGCAGAATGTCAAAAGACCTGTAGTGGCTTGTTTTAATTAGCGAAATAATCGGAATGTCGCACTTGCACGTTAGACAGACGTCGCGTACGTAAGCTCGTTGTAAAACGAAACTCGCGAGATTAGGACTCGACGATGTTTTCGCTAAGGACAGCCCGGTTCTCTCGTCAAAGGAAAGAAAAACACCGTGGATTGTTAGGAAGATCAGAAGCTTCTTATTTGCCTGTGGAAAATTCAACAAAAAGGGAGCACGTGGCCATTTTGACCGAAATTGAGCTAACAATGGACCCTTGCTCCACATGTACGTCTGCTTAAAAAATTCTTTTTCTTAAAGAAAACTTACTCTGAGAGACCTCCCTCTTCAAGCAGCATGAATATCTACTGAAAACTTCGTATTGCTTATATACCACAGTTTCTTTGTTTATCTCAAATATGTATTTGATTTTGCCACATGCGCCCTTTCTGTTCTAACCGATTCGATTGTTGAATACACGGTGTAAAATTCGTTTAAATCGATTCAGAGAGTTGAGCTCGTCAATTCTGCCGTCACGAGCTCGCTCGCCTCTCTCGCGCAAATAATTCCACGGAAAGTACGAATGATTCTATTGACACTTGAGACGTCATCTCAGCTGTCGTCGCAGACGCGCAAAACAAAGCGGCGACACTCACTTTTCTGCCATCGTCCTGACTAGGCTGCCTGTAGTAAGGCGGCGATGGTTGGATCTGCACAGGGCTCAGAGGTAGCTGGTTCGTGGCTGAAAGCAGAGGTTTCACGTAACTTTCCTGCGGCGTGGAATCGCGAAGGGCTATCTCTAAGGATTGTTCTTGCGTTAAATCGGAGGAAGAAGCGAGGAAAAATCGCACGCGGGCAACAAACTTCCGTTGCGGATCAACGGAACCTTGTTCGGGTACCTTGAGAGTTCCTGCGGTACTCCATGTCTACTCCGCTGGCGCCGAGGCCGGGACTTATGTTCAGTATAGGGCCGCGCATCGTATTTTCCTGAAATCACAGCGATCGTTGCAATTAGACGGTTTCCTCGGGGAAAAAGGGGGGAAGGGAGCGAGGCGGGAAAAAGAGAGAATTCACGTGTCCTTAGTCACAATAACAGAATGTGTACACCTACGTATGTATGTTTATGTCAATTTTCGCTCTCCAGATGGATGGAGTTAGACACGACCGGTTTCTCTCGTACTCAAAAATACACACAATTGGTTATAATAGACAAAATGAAAGGAGTTATTCGTAGCCTCGGACTGGTGCAGTACAGCCGCTGGATAAATAATTAAAATAGAGGACTAAATTCTCGGAAGTAGGGGCAAAGGTTCGCCCCATCGCAAATTGCGAGAAACGTAAGTAGTTGTCGTCAAGCGAGAGTGATTAGGCCGGGGAACTCGGATTCTCCATTTTTCTTTCCTCGATCACACAGTTTTGTACTACCTATGGGTGGACAGTTTGTTCAGTTTAGCTGACGATACTTGTTGTTAGTGGACCTGATAAGGGAGAAAAATGTTGAACTGAAAGAGAGAGGTGTTCACCTGTCCACAGATATTGATGTGCAACGGCGGGGAGTTGGCCGGCGGGCCTACCGGTTCCTGGGGGAAGTGCGGCGACGGGCCCCTCGTCTGTGGGCTGTGCTGCGGCGGCGGTTTATATCCCACGCTGCTTCCACCCACGTTCCCGTGATAGGAGACCTCCTTGCCGGTCGGTCCGGAGGACGTGCCGACCCCGGGGCAATCCCTGCGCAGGAGGAGGAAAATATTAGCGCGGGGCATTGCGAGATGTATTCGCGGGGCGGGGAGACGGGGGGTGGGGTGGGGTGGAGAGGAGCCGCGTACACGGTGGCCGCGTACGGGAAACGCGAACATACGGAAAATACGTGTGTGGCAAATCCTCTCCGGCGAGATACGCCGTTTCTCCTCCGAGCGATAACTCTGTTATAAGCGCCGATACCCGGCCCCGCGCGCTCTCGTAACTAGATGAGTCACGTACGCGCAGGGGCAACGGGGGATCTCGGCCAACGCGGGATCTCGCAACGATCCCGCGGAGGAGTTCTCCGCGTGGAGAGAGAGAAAAAAAAAGAGCTGCCCCCACCCGCCCCCTCCTCCACTCTGTAACACTCCGAGCGCCCGTGTCACTCGTGTCTGGGTGACGCGTAAATTTCCGCAAGAGTTCCCTGTCGCCCACTTGCGAGCGACGGTCTCGCTTCGCCCGATTAGGAATACTTTTGCTAGGTATCTGGGACATTAAAGGGATAATGTGCGCTCTACCGAGACATTAATTCAGCGAACGAAACGTTAGAATACAAATATTATACGCGTGCAAATAATGTATTAGATCTGGCTAAGTTCAATGCCGAAATCCCGCCTGGCACTCAAAGTGCTAACGAATCGATAACGGCAATCGTATATACGCGCGGCGGGGGGGAGGGGGGGGGTAGAGAGAAGGGAGCTTTCCTTAAAATTTCACGCGCTCGCTCCCGGTCGGCGCGGCGTGCGGGAACGCGAAAGCACCGCGATTTAATTCGACGTTCGAACGAAGGGAGCGACGGGAATTCGACGTTATGCAAATTTGAAAGAGTCGACCCGCTAATCTCTCTTCGCCGTGACTCTCGCTCGCGCATTTCCGTGAGAGAGAGGGGGGGGGGGGTAGAGAGAGAGAGAGAGAGAGAGAGAGAGAGAGAGAGAGAGAGAGAGAGAGAGAGAGAGAGAGAGAGAGAGAG